CTAATGCTGTGACCCTTTAATACAGTTCCTTATGTTGTGGTGACCTAGCCATAAAATTATTTCAACTGCTACTTCATGACTACTGCTACTATTTATGAACTGTAAGGAAATATCTGATATATGATCTCAGTGAAAGGGTCTTTGACACCCCTTCCCCAATGGGTTCATGACCCACAGGTTAGGAACCACTACAACAGACCCTCTACAAGGTGGAGCCTGGAGGCGCCTAGCAGGGAGGGCTTGCCTTCAGGAAGCAAAGGTAGCTGACAAGAGACCACATTTTTCAGGCCAGTTTTCCAGCAAAACCTCTGCAGTAAGCAGGGGCCCTGGGGATGACTGCCTCCATGGTAAACCCCAGATGTCCCAGCAGGGTTAGCCACAAGGAGGCTGGCTGGGACAGGAGAGAAAGCATAGTGACCTCTGGGGGCCAGAGGCGCCCCCCCCCACTGCCCCCACAAGCCTGGCCTGAGCCTGATAACCTTGGGGTTCACTCTTTCCTGCTAGAGGTTTGTTTGTAGGGGGGATTAGACAAGAGTTATTCTAGAAAAGAAATAAAAAGAATTTCTGATCCACTGAGTCAACGAAATTCTAATAAAAAATGCCAGCAAGTCGTTTTCTTTTCTTTGTAGACATCCACAAGCTGCTTGTAGGGGGCAGGAGCAGAGAAGAACTCAGAGACAGTATCATACTGTAGCCACAACAATCCTTCTGCCTCAGCCTTGCAAGTGCTGGAATGCTGGGTGTGAGACACCAACGTCCAGCTAGACTGTTAAGTTTATAAGGAAAGAAAGGACTAGAACAGCCAAGACAATTCTGGAAAAAAGTCTTATGGGGCGACTGGGCAGTGACTTGAGCTAGGAGTCCACCTATGGGCAGGCCATGAACACCAAACTGGCTCAGGAAGTGAGGACAGAGACCCTAGAGTACCTGCCCCAGTGCTCCTCAGCTTCATAACCCTGGCCTTGCAATGTTTCTAGCTGGACAGCTGAATCTGTGAAATGATGGCTTACTACTTCCAGGACTAAATAATCTACTGAGCAAGTGAAGATCTGCTCCAGCCCCTACCCCTTCCTCTCTGGGCCACACATGCTCACTTCTACTCCCATGCACCCACCTCGCTGTTTCCCCAGCTACTGTCCTAGCCGTAACGTTAGCACATATGTTCTCTAAGGGTTAAGCAGATTTGAGCTGTGTTTGTAGGTAACCCTGTTGGGAGGGAGGGCCTCCAAGTGTCTTCTTGCTCTTCAGAGCCCCCACACTGGTGTTAGTTCCCCATCAGTTTTCTTTCATTCCTGGTTGTTCAGCTGATGATACAGAGGCTCAATGAGGCAATGGGACTCACCCCAGGGTCAAAGAGCTAGTAATTTGCAGGCCCTGACCCCAAGTCCACTCTATCTGCTGGGGTTCTACTTTTTCAGGGCCTATTGCTGAAAATTTTTTTTTTTTTTTTTTTTTTTTTCGAGACAGGGTTTCTCTGTAGCTTTGGTGCCTGTCCTGGAACTAGCTCTTGTAGACCAGGCTGGCCTCGAACTCCCAGAGATCCACCTGCCTCTGCCTCTCGAGTGCTGGGATTAAAGGCGTGCGCCACCACCGCCCGGCAAAAAATTTTTTTTTAAAGTGCATGATGATCTAGTTATATGAATCAACTGAAATGGCCACGAGCCAAGTGTCTGTGCAATGTCAAGGCAAGCAGACCTGGGCAAGCAGTGCCAAGTGACCTGCAGGGGAACTGGGCCAGGTGGATCTTGTGCTCTTGCCAGCACACAGGTGCTCACAGACAGCAGGTCCCTGGGGTCATCTGGTGGTCAGAGTTCAGAGCTGGGTGGCAGTGTGTGATGGAATGGCTGAGGAGGAGGCCTGGGTTAGGAAGAAAGAGCAGTGAGGGAGGAAGGTGAGAGAGAGACGGCCTTCTCACTGAGAGAGTCTACGTAAGGAGGTGCCAGGCACAGCTCAGCCTGTACATCCAGCCTGGAGCTCAGGCGCAGAACCTGAGTCCTTCAGCATCATTCCCAGGGTGGACCTCCATGACAGCGTGTAAACCTGGGGCCACAGCGCACGAGTAAAGATCCTAAGCGTTGAAGAGCGAGCTATGTCTGCCCAGCCAGGGCTTGCGCTACCCACCCTCTCATAGTGCAGGTTCAGGACTCTGGGCCCAACTACCCAAATTCTACCCTCTGAATTCCATGTCTAACTCAAGGCACACTCTCCACAAGGGCTTGTCCTGTCCCTCAGCTGAAGAGAGCCTAAGCAGACACTGTTCCCACAGGACACCCAGGGATGCTGTCCCCCAGGCTTGCCCTCCAGCTCACCTGGACAGCTGCAGACTGTTCACCTCCAAGGGGCCCAAGAAGTTAACGTGTTCACTAGTGATCAGTCTCAGAGGCCAGCCCTCCAATGAAGCTGAGGATCACCCTTTCTCCACAAAGAGACTGTGGCTATCTGCTCTGCTGGAGCCCCTTTCAGCCTCGAGTACAGGCTCGGGCCCCGAACACAGTAGTCTAGGGTCAAGGCCAAGGGTCTGGCTCCTGTTACTCTGGCTAAGACCCAAGCTTGCCTTCCTGGGTCAAGCCCTGTGCTCTCTGAAGGCATTCGAGACCTAAGGGTCTGCTTTTCTCTGGGAGCCGCAAAGGAAAGTGCAATTCCTTGCTAACCACTGCCCCTCATTCCCAAGTCAGACGAGCGGCACGGTATTCACGAAGCAGAACACGATCACAATGAGCTCAAGCTTGGTCCTTAGCTGTCAGGACAAAAGGACAGACGTCCAGTGCTCTAACACACACAACCTCTGCAAACCTAGCGAGTGAGCGGGGCCTTGATCTGGCCTCACAGGGTGGACCTTTTACCCACAGGAGCCTGGAACTAAGCACTCCCACCTCTTCTTTCTCGGTTAGGGTAGAGGGTCATAACACATGTGCTCACCCTCCTTCAGTCAAGAAAAGCCACTTCTCTGTACAGTGAGATGGGCTGCCCCTCCCCTTTGATCTTTGTTTAAAAATAAAACCACACTTACAAACAGCTAAAGCCATCTTGGACTCAGTTTCCTTGCTAGTGTTAATCCACACCATCTCTCCCTCCGTGTTCACACTGTTTATCACACTTCCTCTTCTAAACAGCCTGTGTCCCTTTAGAGTACACCACCACCTACTGCTGCCTCCCAGGTGTCTACAGTAGCACCCCACATAGCACCCTGCAGATAGGCTGTGAAGTTGCCTCAGACTGAATAGCATGCGTGCACGTATCATTTCTATATTTAGTCTCAATTCTGAACTTGCCTTTGCTTTACTGCAGCACCACCTCTGAGATTCAGCAGCGTGACGGTCTAACAGCAGAGTCTCATGCTAACTGACCCACTTACCACTCACCAGTGACCCTTCTTTCTCAGCAAGGAGGGAGATGAAGGGAGACTATCTAGTGTTATCAGAGGCAGCCCAGAAGAAAGACTCAAGGCTCCAGCCAGCAACTGAGAACCCATGACTAAGAATGAGGGAGACCATGTACGTATCTACCCCCAAATCATACAAGTCTGGGAGCACTTGGCAAAGACGCCCCGAGGTGCTAAGGGCTCCCAAAACCACATAGCTCAGTGTGGAGAAGACCACCATCGCAAGGCTCTCAGGATAGAAAGCTGTGGCCGTATTCTGAACCCAAGAGAGATGGCAAAGACCTTGAAGGATTGTCAAGAAGACAAAATGAAAGGCTTCCTGATTGCTGTAGGAGATGAAGACAGAGAAGAGGGCCTGCTCTCGGAGACATTCCTTCACCCCAGCGAGGCTTGTTCCAGTATGACAGTCCAGCTTCCTCTGGGGAGCTCCGCCTCCCCACAGGGCCATCCTACCTTCTATACCAAGGCCTACCTTCTGAGCAGCAAGACCTGTGCACAAAAAACGCTGGCCAGGACAGAGGAAATCCAAGCCATCTACTTATAAAGATGCAAAGTCTAACCACAGCCATATCCTAGCTGAGAACTGAGCAGGACAGGGTGAACATGACTTCTGGGACATTAGGCTGTTCTGCTATGGAAGATCAGCTCCAAAGCTATTCCCTCCTCTACATGCTGGTTCCTGCAGAATTTCCTGCATCTTTCTGAAAGATGAAGAAAGACCTCATGCCTGCCACCATGAGAGAAGGCTGGCCAAGCCCCCACATAGGTTGAGCATGGTCAAACCAGTTCAACCAGACAACAGTATTTCACAAAGCAAGAAAAATGTTCTAACTATAAGGGAAGTACAACAAAAAGAAGGAAAAAGTGGCCTCTGAGCTAAGCTCCACGTGTAAACTAGTGTCACAGAGTGATTCCAAGCTGGGAAGGGTGGTGCACACCTGCAATCCCGGCACCTGGAAGGGAAAGCAGAAGGATAGGGAGTTTATGACCTGCCTCGGCTACACAGCTGAGACCAGTTGGGACTATAGATGCCCCTGTGCCAACAAACAAACAGGATAAATCCAGGCTGGAATGGCAGATGTGAGTAGACCACGTGGCCCAGAGCTTTACAAGCTAAAAGTGACAAGACTAAAGGATGTAATATACAGTTAGAATGTAAGACAAGCTAAGAGCTAGAACAGATTTCTCAACCTCTGGGTTGCTTGTGGGTTGTTTGGGGTTGACCGATCCTTTCACAGGGGTCACCTAAGTCCACCAGCAATTACAGATATTTGCATTTTGCATTATAATTTGTAAAGTAGCAAAATTACAGTTATGAAGTAGCAATAAAAATAATTTTATGGGCTGGGAGATCACCACAACATGAGGAACTGGATTAAAGATTCACAGTGTTAAGAAGGTTGAGAACCAGAATTGAACTAGACAGTAAATGAAAAAAATCTTATATATAGGGACATATACAGAATATATAGGGACAATCCTAACTAGTGATAGAGTTGATCTTTTCAGGTCTGAACAAGACACCCAAGAGAGTGGTGTCCAGCTCTGAATTCAGCACTGGGGAAATGCTGGTGGGGAGTGCAGGGCAGTGTGGCATGGCCGGAGCCCATAGGCCTACCTGTGCTTCCCATCTTCTTCTTCCTCTTCTCGGAGCTGCTTGGTCTGTGGCTCCCCATCGTCCCTGTCCTAGAAAAGAAAGAAAAAAAACCAGTGCTCAAGGAGAACACTCCTACTGTGGCCCAGGTCACCTGGGGAGCTGGTAAGAATGACAATCAGGGCCAGGTGTGGGTACAGGAGACTTGCTCTTCCCTGCTCCCTCCCTGGGCAGAACTTAAAACTCCACAACCCGGCCCGGCGGTGGTGGCACACGTCTTTAATCCCAGCACTCGGGAGGCCGAGGCAGGCGGATCTCTGTGAGTTCGAGGCCAGTCTGGTCTACAAGAGCTAGTGCCAGGACAGGCTCCAAAGCTACAGAGAAATCCTGTCTCGAAAAACTAAAAACAAAACAAAACTCCACAACCCTCCCAGCACTCAGGAGGCAGAAGCAGGCAAATCTCTGTGAGATCAAAGCCAGCCTGGTCTACATAGTGAGGTCCAGGACAGCCAGGGCTACAGAGAAACTTTGCCTCAAAATAAAATTAAATTAAAAAACAACAACAATAAAAAAGCCCTCCATGATCCCAGCCCAATCCCAGACACAAGGATGTCCTTGATGACAAGCAGGAAGAGCTGGCAAGAATGCAAAGCTGGTCAGAGTTGGATGGCCACCAGTCATCTTCACAGATATGGATGGAAGGAACCATGTGCTGGGCTGGAGGGAGATGGGAGAAAGATGGTCACCAACACTAGGGCAGGATGAGAACTCAGGCCTTTCGGCATTCCTTCCAGTCCAGAGACCTCTCCAGAGAGACCATTTGGATCCCTTCAGAAGAAACCTAACTTGGACCAGGCTCGGAACAAGACTCACTGCCCAGGTCTGTGATGTACTAAAGGAGACAGAGGCTTAAAATTTTTCTTACATTTTGTGTGTGTGTGTGTGTGTGTGTGTGTGTGTGTGTGTGAGAGAGAGAGAGAGAGAGAGAGAGAGAGAGACAGGCACATATATGCCACAGAGCACATGGAGGTCGAGAGAGGTCGAGAGGTCGAGAGGTCGAGAGGTCGAGAGGTCGAGAGAGAGAGAGAGGCGCACATATATGCCACAGAGCACATGGAGGTCAGAAGACAACTTCCAGGAGTCTCAAGAGGTTAGGACAATTTTCAGGGGTTGGTTCTCTTCCTCTATGGTGTGGGTTTCAGGGACTGCTCAGGTTGCCAATCTTGATGGCAAACACCTTGACCCACTGAGCCACCTTACCAGCCCATAAATCTGCCCAGCCCCGATTCATGTAAGACATGTTTATCTCCAAGTGCTCCGAGGACCACAACTTAAGGGCACCACCAGGCTGCTTCTGCCTATTGCAGAAGGAAGTACCCCCTGGGTCCTCTCTTCCCAATATCACTATGGTTGGACAAACTGACCACAGGTGTGTGTACACATGGACAGAAGCAAATGAATAAAGCCACAGGCCTAGGGCTTGAACCAAGGCCCAGGAAGAAGCCCTGCATGCTAAGGCTAGCCCACTAGAAGATGCCAAACTCACTTTGTTACTGGCAGTGAACTCTGCTGGAGTGGTGTTCTGAGAAGGAACCTGGAAGTTTCTACCTATAACATGTTGTGATGGCTGAGAACATGCCAGAGCTGACATTAGATTCCTCTCCTAGAAAATGCTGTATGCCACCAACAGCTGCCTCCCTCTGGGTGACATCTGCTTCATGTTACTGTCTACCAGTGCTCACCCTGGAGATCCAGGCAATGGCAGACATTGCCATTCCTTGGCCATTTGACCTATGGGTCCGGCTCACTGAAAACCTTCCACAATAGAACACATCAAGATAATTTCTGTCCTCAACTCAAGCAGCTTGGTCTCCTAGGGATGGGGCAGTGGGAAGGAAATGGGACAAACAACATGATTTTCTGGGCATAAGGAGGGAAGAATCTGGTTTCCTCGGTCAAAGAGACAGGATGGGAGAAGCATTCCCAGGGTAAAACCTGAACAAAGGTAGCGTGTGGACTGAAGAACAGACAGAGGTTCAGGCTTGAGAAACAAGCTAGCATTCTCCAAGTGGCTCAGAGGGCAGGATGGCCTCCAGAAGCTAAGCTGGCATGGGCTCCCCTCCCTGACTAATGGCTTGCCCACAAAGCAGCCAGAGGTGCAGATATTCTTTCTTTCTTTTCTTTTCTTTTTTCTTTTTTTTGAGATCTTTCTTTCTTTTTTGTTTTTGAGACAAGGTCTCACTATGTAGCCTTGGCTGGCCTGGAGCTCACTATGTAGACCAGGCTGGCACCAAACTCATCAAGGTCCACCTGCTTCAAGTCACCTGAGTGTTGGGAGTAAATGTGTGCAGATATTCTAAGAGCTCCATCCTAACAGCAAATCCCAGAAATGCTTGCCTCCAGGGAAGAGGCCAGCAAACCACTCCCCGGGATAGAAGTAGTAGAACAGAGAGCTCAGTCCCCACTCCCACCCCCTTTCTGGAAGGATTCCGTGCAGCTGACAGAAGAGGGCACCATCTCTGTAGGAAGGACCTGCCTCTGGGAGGAGTGTCTTGCCCACACCATGCCCCTTTCTAACCAACAAGGGGAAGGTTACACTCAGTCAGACAGGCCACCTCCCAGAGCCCCAGAAACACTCAAGAGCCTTGGCAAGGGCCAAGTTACTCATTAACAAGCGAGAAAACAGCCATATATCCAAGGGGCACTCTAAAAACTACATCTGGCGCGTAGGCGCAGCAGTGGTCTACAAACAACAGTTAAGACCAGACACACATGGGTGACAGCAGTGGGTGAACAAAGAAATAGGGCACAGAGGTGGGGGACAGGAGTGACTCTCAGGTGGGACAGCAAGCATTCCTGAGAAGGATAATGGCTAATACTGGCTTAGGTCACAGGCATTGCTGCCCCATCCTACCCCACTCCCCTGCCGGGATGCCAGAATTCCCCCTCCCCTGGCCTAGATCACCCCCAGCCTGAGAGACGCAGTGGGTTCAGAACTGGAGTTATCACAGGAACGCTCATCTTAGGTTCTCAGTTCATCATGGGGGATGATACACATATCTCCTAAATGGCTATCAGAGGTAGGAAAAAAAGTGAGGAGATGCCCAAGGTCACAGAACCTGCCTGTGACGTAGCAGATCTGGATCATGGCCCTCCAGGTCTGGCCCCAGAGTTCTTGCCAAGAATGATAGGCAGCCTAGCAAGAGCAGGACTGACTTCCTAATGAATGACTCTGACCTCAGCCACCTTTCCTGTATCCCCACATGGTTCAGGCACGGCCACGTGCACAGATCCAGCCATAGCCAGCCCAAGTCCAGGCCAAGGCACCAGTGGACACCCAGAAATATAGGAGGCCTTGGAGTTTCACATCCAGACATACCATGATGAGACTCCCTAAATCAAGCTCAGCGTCCTAACCCTGGGCCCCATATTCTCCCCAAGTTTCTCCACCTTCCCCCTTCTTCCCAAGCCCCATTTTCCATTCTGTTTTTTTCTTCCAACTTATGAGCTTTTGCTTACATGTATGTTTGTGCAACACATATGTGCCTAGTGCCCATAGAGGTCAGAAGAGGAAGTCACATCCCCCTGGACCTGGAGTTATAGATGGTTGTGAGCAGCCATGTGGGTCCCTGCAAGAACAAGAGCTCTTACCTGCTGAGGCATCTGTCTAGCCCAGCCCCACCCCATGTGTGTGTTTGCCTACATGTATGTCTGTGCAGCACGTATGTGCCTGATGCCCACAGAAGCCAGAAGAGGGCACTGGATCCCCTAGAACTGGAGTTTCAGATAATTGTGAGCCATGTGGGAATCGAACTCTGATCTTCTGGAAGTGTAGCAAGTGCTCTTAACCACTGAGTCATCTCTCTAGCCCTCCTAGGAGCCATTCTCGCTCCCTCTCAGGTCCTTAAAACCAAGTCCCCAGCCATTCTCCTCCACCCTCACTAGTAGACAACGTTCTCCTCTAGAATCTAGTTTCTTAAACTGGATCAGGACTCCATATGGGGTCATATAACCGAATGTGGGAAACATGGGAAATTTAGCAAATACACAATAACTGAGAAGTAATTCAAGATTAAATGCACTGAATTCTCTGGCACTGCCCACCTGTGCTGCCTGGAGGGGCTTCACGGTGGCCTTGGAGCTAAGCACACAGTTTGTACACTCGGGCCTTTGTTACAAGTGCCAATGGTGTCAGAAACACCCAGCCCTGAATTCATAACTTTTACAATTTTAAAATTCTAGAGGATTCTGTTTGATTCCTAGCAGCCACGTGATAGCTCACAACCATCTGCAGCTCCATTTCCTGGGGATCCCAAAGTCTCTTCTGACTTCTGCAGGCTCTTAGAGTAGCTAATACACTGGGGCACACACATTAAACAAACAAACACCAAAACAAAACAAAACCCAAGGTGGATGACCCCTGAATTTTTTTTTTGAATTTTAAAATTTAAAAACTACCCTAGGTTATGAACCAGAGCGTTTTTGTTTTATGTTTCTGCTCTTAGGAAAACTTAATTACAAAAAAATATATTAATATTTTTCTACCATCATTCATTATCATGTGTCAAATTATTTTTGGATTAGACTGTTAGGATGTTCAATTTTAAAAACAATTGTGTGTGTGTGTGTTTGCGCATGATTTTGTGTACATATGTGGAAGCTAGATGTCAACCTTGGGTATCATTGCTCAGGGGTTATCACCTTGGGGTTTTGTTTTGTTTTAGTATTTATTAATGGAGCTACAGATAGTTGTGAGCTACCACATGGCTCTAGGAATCAAACTGGGATCCGCTAGAACAGCAAGTGCTCTTAACTGCTGACTCATTTTGGCAGCCCCGTCAATCTTATTTTATTGAAACACATCTCTCAGAAGCCTGGAACTTGTTGCCAAATATGCTAGGCTAGCTAGCCAGCAAGTCCAAGTAGTCAACTGTGTTTGCTTCCTCAGCACTAAGATTATAGATACACACAAGCATGCCTAGCTTTTTAGTTTTATTTATCAGCACTATTTATTTATTTATTTATTTACTGGGTACATGCATGTGTGGAAGAAACCTTTTGGGAATTTCTTCTTTCCTTGCACCATATGGGC